TGGACTACCTCACGCAACCATTCAAGATGTACAGCTTTTTGGATATAAAATTCCCAAGGTAACAGCAGAAACCTTTAATTCTTTCCCATGAAGTGAAATGTTGGTGAATCTGCATGTGTCCATCTGTATCTTTCTGGCATGAGGTGTGTGTTTCTATGTAAGAGCAAGAGAAAGCAAGATTTGAGGTCAGTCCTGTTCTTTTATATGGAAGGAAGACATAGCACAGTCAAAGGATAAGAGGAGTTGCTTTTGGACCTCCTTGTATGAAAGTGGAATAGGCTTATTGACCAATTTTTCTGTTGTGTGCTTTGGCAAGTTGGCATAGTTTCCGGGGCTTCTCCAAAGTCCTTGCAGCAAAGGTGGCTTCTGAAAGCTGAGAAATTCTTGCTTACGAATGGTGGCTGAGTGGGGTCTATCTATACAGTGGTACGCAGGAAAGACTTTGGGAGAATGGCCAAGAAATGCTGCGTATTGAATAGTCAGATAAGAGACAGCACAGTCTGCAGCTGTATAGTGGAAGCGAAGAGGCTCAGAAGAGACCCTCTGTAGGTTCTCAGGCTGTAAAGAAGACAGCAGGAGAAATGTCCCTTCAGAATTGCAAGATTCTGTTAATGTAGCTTTAGAATAAACTAGAATTAGCTGATCTGGCCATATTTCCTGTCTGGTCTACCTACTAAGGCTGACACTCTGGTAGAGCATTCTCAGCCATGTCTGACAATGAGGACTTTCTTCCACTTGACCTACTTGTCTTGGCTTTGCAGGACACCATGGTTTTTGTCAATCTCCATTCTGCCCATTTTGATGAATCTCAGTGGAAGTTCCCAAAAGAGTTCAACCCCTCCAACTTCTTGAATGAAAAGGGAGAGTTTGTGAAGCCGGAAGCCTTTTTGGCATTTTCAGCAGGTAAATTATTCCCTCCCTCCCTCTCACAAACACACACACACACAACAGACACACACTTTAGTGGCAACACACCCTGAACCCCAAACTACCCAACCTTGAGAGACTTATGGAAATCAGCTCCTGGGTGCAGCTTATAATTCAGTATCTCAAGTAAAAATGGGGTTGAAAAAAACACAAGTAACCATTTTGAATGTGGTCATCCCAGAACAGCGGAAAAATGTTTCCTTGTAGCCATGGAATTCACTCTGGGGATATTGTCCCCTTTGTCCAGTATCTGAAAGCATTGTGGGAGGTTTTCCATGTGAATGTCTCCTTGGAAAATGTTGGGCATGATAAAGCAGAGGAAATGGTAAATTCCTGAACCACATTCAGACAAATCTTCTATCTTCCTCTGAACAGCTGCCTGAGAGGATATAGATTCTTCCAGAAAATGTTGGGCATGATAAAGCAGAGGAAATGGTAAATTCCTGAACCACATTCAGACAAATCTTCTATCTTCCTCTGAACAGCTGCCTGAGAGGATATAGATTCTTCCAGGCAAGATGCTCACAGGAGGTTTTTCTCTAATAGTATATACTTCTTGGGGAGGGATCAGAATGGAAAAATTACAGCCATTGGGATATTTTCACTATTGTGGGCCAGAAGGTGTTGCACTATTAGATGCCTGAAGGAAGAATAAACATAATCTTTATTGAGGAAAATGGCCTATGACAAGAAAGGCTGAGTTACTTAAGTTTTTCTACAGCTAAGAGCCTCTATTGGGCTCTCTGCATGATGGAGAAAGCATGAGACAGGTAAGTGCCTGTAATGCACAGGTCAGAGTCGGGCAAGAAAAGAGGAATTGAACAGGGAGAGGGAAGAAGTGAATATCGACTTGAGAATATCAGTCTAAGCAGTAGAAGACGTGCTGTATAGAGTCATAGAAAGTAAGTCTTTTAGAGAAGGAAAGAAGAAAACAACCTCACAAACTTTGCCCACCTGCTGAGATTTGGGATCATTGTGTGGAAGACCAAACAGGTCCAGAGGTTGAAAAAGGTTGGAGTGCTCAGCTGGCTGAATGGCTGTTCTCTTCTCCTTCACTTTCCCTTTTCCTTTTCAGGACCAAGAGCCTGCTTAGGGGAAAACCTGGCCCGGATGGAGCTCTTCCTCTTCTTCACCAGCATTTTGAGAAACTTCCAGTTATTGTGGCCAGATAAATCACAAGCACCAGATTTTACA